AGTTAAATAGAGTCAAGATTAGCCACGCATTCACGTGATCTCTGCTCCAAGGCATGTTGAGTCATGGCTAGATTTGGGATGTAATAAAAATTAAACATTGAATGGGAAATGTGTGGAGATAGACTACTACAAGCTTATTTAAGTAGTTTGTGAATCATCAACTGTAGAAACAAAGGCTTGCTATTGCCTGCCTTCAGAGATATAGCTAGCTTTAGTCTAGGGATTTCATTAATTCTATTTTACAGAGTTTAATTTGTTTCAATCGGTTTAGTTGCTGACTCGTAATAATTCCATTAGATAATGCTTAGTTGCATCCTATTTTGTTTATAAGACTGATCGCTATAATGAGCATAATAATGCTGTTCGAGTGCTAATTTTTTTAAAGTTGTATAGAAAAGAGCATTTAGCGTAGATCTAAGAGGACTCTTATGATTGGATGAGTTAGTTACAGAAATTTGATTTATTTTAATGGATAGAATGTAGGCCACTCAAAATTAAAATACACTCATCGTGTATATGTACATTATTGAGATAAATAATATCTAGAACCGGAATAAACAAATGAAGAAAGGTACCAAATTGGTTATCTTGCCAAGTGCGAATGTAAGTGATTAAACGTGCTGACTAAACGACAGTCAAAATTCATACTCACGATATTTCATAATGTCTGATATTAGGGGGCATTGATGAAGAGGAGTACAGGAGCAGCCGCATGGTGACTTAGATTACATGAATCCTTTAAACAAGAAGCCACTATTGGAGCATTGGATGAAGTGAATGATGAATATAAATAAATTCTTCAATCATTTATTCGTAAGTTTATCAAACATATGCCTATACTTGTTTATTTCTAGGCCTCTCGTGTAGATATAAATACTCAACTTGTATCCCTATAGATGATTGTTTTGCACATTAGTCGTATTCTCCATGCGACTTTAAAGAAGTCACACCATACTGTCTCCTTTTACATGATTAGCATACCTTTTTTTCAGCATCACTCCATCAAAACTATACATTCCATACTATGCATTATTGCCTATTAGAGTCAGTCTTTGCTGGAAGTTGCATAAAGTCAATTTTGGTATTAAAAATGTTGTGTTTTCTGGCTCGGTTTAATAAATGGTCGCAGCTAAGTTGGTACCACCAACAGGTTATGCCGACTGCAAAGAAAGTGGTACTTCAGAAAAAAATACACCCAATAAACGATCTGATAATGACAGAACACATTGTAACAATGCCATGTGACCCAGTACAGATTTATTGTATGAAAAAGCCCTTTAATGCATAGCTCAATTGGGTGAACGATTTTAATTTACTACTGCTTATTTTAATAAGTAGTATAGCTAAGTTTTTGGATATATTGATATTTTAACATTCTTACTAGGCGCTTTATTTGATCCACTCCTCTTTATATGTCAACATTCACATTCTAATACAATGTGACGACGCAGACGGGCTCGTGCAACTCTCTCTCTCTCTACCAACCGATGCTCATGGCTCGATACGCACAACCATGTCATCGGATAGAGCACGATGGGGACCGCTCAAGGCTTCGCAGTTGTAGATGCCATCATCTCCGTTTCGGAAATTGCGGATTGTCAGGGTACTGATTACTGTGGGAGTCCGCGTGGAGCAGGCCTCAACGGTACTGCGAACCTCGAAACGACTTCCCGACATGCGCAGTTCTTCGGGCAGGCAACCCCAGTTGAAGCGCCAAATGACCCGAGGTTGAGGATGGCCCCTCGCACGACAAGTCAATGTGACAGTGGCTCCTGGACGGTGCTGTACCATGGGGATACCACTTGAGACGATGATGGGAGTCACTAAATTCCGAGTAGAAGTAGAAAATTAATTTTAGGATAGATACATGCAAAAGGAATTTTACATTCTTATTAAGGCGAAGTATACAGATTTTTTGACAACATTAAACGGATTTCCACATATTTTCATATATTTTAAAAATACGATGCTTCAATGGGGAAGCAAAGAACCGAATTTTTGCATATTTGATTAATATATCTGTAGATATAAGTAAATTATATTTTCTTTCATAAATATCATTTTATTATTTCTAAAAGGAATGAAACTAGTTTGAAGACATTTAAGCAAAGATTTACTTAATTAATTATTGAATTACTTTGGATAAAGTCGTGAGTAAACAATCTTTTAAGTAACCTAGGCCACAAATATTTTAAAACACCTTACGCAATGATGATTATTATATTTTAATATAAAGTTTAATTTATTCTTTACATGCTTGTCTTAGCCCTCAGAGTCTCTAGAAAGGGAACCTTTGTTGAGATTTATTACATCGGGTCCTAATAATCACATATATATAAATTCTTGCTTGCTCTCATTGCATTTTGCACCATTTTTAGTAGTCAGATTAACTTTGATATTTTTTATAAGTGATTAAATTAATTTTGTCCACTATAAGCTAAATTAATTTCACCTTATTTTACAT